CCTGTGGGTCTGTCCCCACCGCCCAGAGGTGCTCCCGTGGCATTCAGGAGCGGGATTCAGGGATGGCGCCGCGTCCTGCCCTCCTGGGTTTGTGGCGCGTGCACGCTGTCACCTCAGCGCGGTGACATCAGCCGGTGGCACCCGCAGGGATGTTCGGGGGGGACAATCTAACAATTCCAGCCCAGGGATTCCGCCAGGGACCGGCGGAACCACGCGGCCGGAGATCCACGGTGGGCACCGGGGCTGCCCAGGAGAGGCCGGGAAAGGGAACGAGGCTCTCAGGCCACATTCCCAAATTCCTCTGGATGTGGCAGCAGGGACCTCCCCCCGTCCGGGGGAGAGCTGGAGCTGCTGCTTTGAGATGGAATGAGATCCCTGCGGATCCAGGGATGGTGTCTGGGGTGGACAATGCCAGGAGGGAGCTGGGTTTGGTGACAGGACGGAGCCATGCTGGGACCCGGTGTGGGCTGGGGAGGAGACGCTGTCCAGATAAAAGTTGGTGTTGGGAAGGAAGGAAGGAAGGATTTCCTTCCCCGTGTTGACACCCAACCCGCAGCGGCAGGAATGTCACAGGGATGCTCGGTGGCTTCTCCTTGGCTCTGGTGTCACCTGGGCAGTGTCACCACCCCGCTCCCGGCTGCTCCGGGGGTGACGGGGATGAGGATGAGGGTCCTTGATTGGTGTGGGGTGGGGTTTGGGAAAAGGGCAGTGCCCATCCAGCCCCCAGTGCTGGATCTGCTGTGGGACCCCCGTCCTGGGCTGTCCCCAGAGCTGGCAGTGGGGACAGGGACCCCCAGCCCTGAGCCCTGGCGGCTTCTCCATGGCCAGGGACCCCAGCCCTGAGCCCTGGTGGCTTTTCCATGGCCAGGGACCCCCAGCCCTGAGCCCTGGTGGCTTTTCCATGGTCAGGGACCCCCAGCCCTGAGCCCTGGCGACTTTTCCGTTCCCCCACGATGTCCCAGAGGTTTGTGGGGTCCCAGTGGTGCCGTGAGGGGCTCGGGGGGTGCTGTTGACAGCCGGGCCATGGGGAAAGAGGCTGTTGGGAATCTCCAGGGATGCTTGGAGCAAACCCTTCTGGCATCAGCCGAGAGTCATCACCAGCACTCCCACCCTGCCCAGATGTGGTGCATCCATCCCTGGGGATCCTGCCAGGCTGGGACATGGCACAGGGAGGCACCCGGGGGGTTTCTCTCCATCACCGAGGTGTTTTTGCCTCCTTTTGCCTCCTTTTCCCTTCTTTTCCCTCCTTTTCTCTCCTTTTCCCAGCGCTGCTCCTCCCGCCTGGGATGCGCCTCCACTCCCACCCCTCTTTCCCCCCATTCCCCGCGGGATCCAGCCGGGTGGGATTGGGGTGGGGGCATTCCAGGGGGCTGCAGCATCCCGGGGGGGGCTGTGGAGCACGAGCTGCCTGTGTGCGAGCACCCCCCTAAAATCCCTTCTGAGCCGCAAAGCTCCTCAGCCCTGGTTTGAGTTAAAGAGAATTAAAATGCTTTCTCCCGCCGATCCCTAATCCCAGGGGCTGCGGCACGGCCGGGAGGGATCCCCCGGATGCTCCCGGCGTGGTCACCTGTCCCCAGCCCCGTTCTGGTGTCACTTCACCGCCTCCAGGCCCGGTCCGGGAGCATCCCCGCCCTGCCCGGGGGTGTGGGTGGGTGCGGGCAGCTCCGGCCCGCAGGGGACCATCCGTCCCGGCTCTTTTTGGGGCTGCAGCCCCCCCAAAAGCTGCCTGGAACCCAGGAAAGGCGTGTGGGACCCCCGACCCCCTTCCCCATGGCAGGTGGGAGCCGGCAGCAGCTTTGCCGTGAAAGGGCTGGAAATCGGTTGTTGTTTCAGCAGGGCTTTCTCCTCCTCCAGAATCCCATTAAAACCTCATTTTTCTGACCCTAATCTCAGCTGGCCCTGGCTGGGGGGATTAACGCTGGTGTCCCCCCCGCGCTGGATCCGGGCGGGAGAAGCGCGGCCGGAGGAGGGCGGCGGTGTGGCCGCGGTGGTGGCAGCGCTGCTGTCCCTGTCCTTGTCCCTGTCCCTTGTCCCTGTCCCTGTCCCTGTCCCTGTCCCTTGTCCCTGTCCCTGTCCCCGTCCCTGTCCCTGTGCTGTCCCAGGGGTGACGTTATCCCCGCCGCGTGCCAGGGGTGGCGGTGGCGCGGCTGGCAGTGTCCCACAGCTGGTGACAGGGCCCGGGCTGGGACCAGCGGCTGCGCCCCGGAGATGTCACCGCGCTCGGTGCTGGGCCAGCGGGGGGGGACAGGGTGGGGACAGGGGGGGAGGCCCCTCAGTACTGGCAGGTGTGGGAGCAGGGCCGTGTGTCCCTCTGTCCGTGTGTCCCCCTGTCCGTGTGTCCGGTGTCCATGTGTCCGGTGTCCGTGTGTCCCCCTCTGTCCGTGTGTCTGGTGTCCGTGTGTCTGGTGTCCGAAAAAAGAAATGTCCCCTCTGTCCGTGTGTCCGTGTGTCCGTGTGTCTGTGTGTCCCCCTGTCCGTGTGTCCATGTGTCCGGTGCCCGGTGTCCGTGTGTCCGTGTGTCCGTGTGTCCGTGTGTCCGGTGTCCGTGTGTCCGTGTGTCCGTGTGTCCGGTGTCCGTGTGTCCGGTGTCCGTGTGTCTCTGTGTCCCTCTGTCCGTGTGTCCGTGTGTCCGGTGTCCGGTGTCCGTGTGTCCGTGTGTCCGGTGTCCGTGTGTCCGGTGTCCGTGTGTCCCCCTGTCCGTGTGTCCGGTGTCCGTGTGTCCGGTGTCCGTGTGTCCCCCTGTCCGTGTGTCCGGTGTCCGTGTGTCCGGTGTCCGTGTGTCCCGGGGCCGGCAGCGGGCCCGGTGCATGCCGGGAGCTCCTGTTTGGCCGCGTATTTAGGACACTCCTGTGCAAAACACGAACATTCTGGAAGGCGTCCAGGCGCGCTCGCATTCCTCGGGGTGGAATCTGCCCCCGCCAGCGCCGCCTGACCTTTCCCTCTTTGGGCCGCGGGAATAATCCCGGGGATCGCGCCCTCCCTGTCCCCCCCCCAGGGCTGGGGACCCCCTCCCCAAACCCCCTGCAGGCTGCTGGGGCGGCTCAGCGGGGACTCAGGGAGGTGACAGGATGGCACCCAGTGTCCCCAGCTGTCCCGGGACCCCCGGCCGGATCCAGCCCCGCCATTCCCGGCTGGATTTTTCCCCCTTTGAGGCGGGAAGCGAAGCCCCACCGGGCGCTGCTGGCACCCACAGCCCCGTCCGGTTGCTCCAGCTCTGCGAGCCGGGACACGCCAGCTCCTTGTCCCCGGGCTGGGGCGAGGCCACCGGGCTGTCCCCGGGGTGGCTCCGCTGGCGGACCCCCGGCACGGGCACCGGGTGACATCAGGGTGGCCCCGGGTCGGGGCGGGGGGGGTGGCAGGGATTTTGGCTCCCACTTTTCTCCATCCCGGTTTCTCACACCGGGACGGTGCCCTGGGTGTGCCGAGGGGTCCTTGGGGACACGGCTGTCACCACCCCACCCCGGCCAGCCGGACTCGGCGGGGGTGTCACTTTGGGTGGGCGCTGGGGACACTCTGGACAGCGCAGCGGGCACAGGGTGGGGGCTCAGTGTGACATTGGCAGTGTCCCCTCGCTGCCAGCCCGGGGGGCTCTGCGGCATCACCCTGGCGCTGTGGGGCTGGGGGTGACCCACACGGAGCGGAGCGGGAGGGCCCCGAGGCCCCGGGGATGCAATCCCAGCAATTCCCGGCATTTCCCGGCGTGGCCGCACGTGCCTCGCTCTCCTCGGCCTCCAGCACGGCAGGAATGCGGCGCGGGACCCCCTCGAGCGGGGACAGGGACAGGCAGAGCGGGAGGGGACAGCCCAGGGGGGGCACTGCCAACCCCCGGCCCCAAATCCGGCTGTGCCAGGCTCCCCGAGGTGCCGCTCTTTTCCTTATCCCCCCCAAATTCTGGGAGAGTGGCTTGGGGAAGGGGATTTGTCCCCGTGCGGGCAGCAGCGACAAGGGTGGCGTTGTCCCAGGTGTCCCCAGCGCTGTCAGGGGGCCTGGGTGGGACCGCGGAGGGTGGTGGCTTTGTGCCGGGGGGGGACAACAGGGGACAGCTGTCCCCCAAAATGAGCGGTGGGGCTGAGGGGGGGCTCTGGGTTCAATTCCAGCTGGGAATTGTCCTTGGAGCCACCGCCGCAGGCGCTGAGGGAGGCCTGAGGAGCTGTGTCTGGCTCTGGGGGGATATTTTTGGTCTCCACGGGGCTGTTTTGGTCCCCGGGGTCGGGGTTTGGTCCTCGGGGTGCAGGATACGTGTCCCCCCCTCTCCTCCCGCTGCCAGGCCGCTGCCGAGTGCTGGGGACAGAGAGGGGACCGGGGGTGTCCCGCAGCACCTCCCCGGCTCTCCCGGGGGTGACAGAGGGTGACAACACCCCGAGGATGTCCCCCCGCTCCGTGTCCCCGGCATCGCCCGGTGCCCTGCGGAAAGGAAGGAAGGAAGGGGCCGGGAGGAGGGAGAGGAGGAAGCGAGGAGGGGTGGGATGCTGCCCGGGGTGATGGAGGAAGAAGGGGGCGGATAGGAAGGGAAAAAAAAAGGAAAAAAAAGAAAAAAGAAAAAAAAGAAGGAAGAAAAAAAAAGAAAAAAAGAAGGATAAAAAAAAGAAGGGAAAAAGAAAGGGAAAAAAATGAAAGGGAAAAAAAAGAAAAAAGAAAAAAGGGAAAGTCCTGGCAAAGTGACGCCTCAGGCGGCGGGGTGGGGGCGCTGGGGGCGGGGGTCTGGCTGGGGGCGGTGGGCTGGGGACTGATCCCT